ACGAGGTGTAAGATACAAAATATAGTACAAAGCGCGATAGTAAAGACGATCACATACTTGAAAGGGCGTAACGATTCTCACATCGGCTATTGCAGAATACACTAGAGGTTCGACTGGCGCTAGTATATATGGGAATCCCAGTTTCAAACTGAAGCAGGCAGTAACCAGTCCACTTCTGCGGTGCTCTTCTGCGTTCCTATGGAAAAAGGCGCGCGCATTTTCTCTTTTCGCCGGAAAATAAATGAAATTATTTTTGTTACTCGGGTCGTAGAGAACAGTAGATAACCTCATTAACGTTATAAAAGTTAAATTTCTTTAGTTACAGCCTTTTTCCGATCAATGAGCGACGTTTAACTTCCGAGTATTCCGGATATACTCCAATGTTCCAGGGCGAAAGTGTAAAAACAGGAGGCGAATTTAAGCAAGAATAACAGTAGAAAAGAACGTAGGACTTGTTCAAGGAGCGCCAATTTACCGATTGCGGTAATCTTCATAATTTGTTATATTTGTATGACACTAAAATGGTCCCTATTTACGAGTGGCTAAAACGCGCAAAAACAGTAAAATAAGCGCGCTACATAAGCTCTTTTTCACTCTATTATTCTGTAGAACTTATCGAGTTCTGGGAGTTGTATGGCTTTTCCTCATTTTAAAGGTTTTCGACCATGGGGATATGAGTTTTGAGAGCTATACTGAAGTCACCTTTGTACCCTTACAGTTGCAGCAAAGTGAATAAAACGAATGGTATTTTATCTCAAATTGCACTCATTACTTAGCTTTATTTTGATCATCTACATTAACAGCTAGGTACTGAACGGGTGTTAGTGCGTAGTTCTTGACATTTCTCATGATTTTCGAGATTCTCTTCATTGGTTTGGCACGTGAACCCCCTGAAGAAACGCGCTGATGCCGTGATCGCGCTGTGTCGGACACTCTACATAAATACATGTGCGAAGCGTTTTTAGCGCCGTTTTTAATGCCATAAATTTGAGGCAAAAACGCAGTAACTAACCAATATTTTTGTCTGCGTGACTAAGAAATGTTCCAAGTTGTCTAGTACGTACAAATCATTCGTGATATTTTCTCTTATAATCAGGCGCAAAAAGAAAATGCAGCCCTCTTTTTTTTTTTCCTCATAGAAATGCATTTCAGACTCGTTACCGATTGCTTCAATTCGAAACCTCACACTAACGACAGTTGAACCTCTAGCGTAAATTTATAACATCTCTATGGCTGTGCCTCCACCGAAGAGGAAGAGCCGTCGTGATGAAGATCGGCACGCGATTCTATCCCCTGCCGCCTGGGCGCGCCACCAGCACCGAGGCCGTCCTTTCTTCCTGGCGCCGGGCGACGGGCGTGGGACCTCTACTTTAGAACTGTTATTCGCGGCACCGGCGAGTCTATCTAGCTTCGAAAGAGAAATCGTTTACCGAATAAAACAATTAGGATTTATTGCGTACAACACGCCCGACCACCAGGTTGATTCGCACGAAGATGTAGCCGAGCCGTCGTCCCTTCTCCTAGCTGAGGAGATCGCTCGTCTTACGAACACAAATCGGTTAGAGCTTAAAAAACGTACAAACGTCAAGACCTTCGCTTTCTTCGTGCGACGAGTGAATTTTTCATCTGCCTCGCAGGGACACTAAAACGAAGGGGAAAAAATAAAAGAAAACCGCTGTCGGGTGTAGCCACACGATTTCCGACAACGCTCTCCTCCTCTGCATTTCTTCTTCCTCCCCAGTTCAGTTTAGGTTTAGACCAGTTGTGTTTTTATTTTACTTCATTAACAATATACATGACGCTGTAGCAAAATATTGACTGGGTAGTCTTTTGACACAACATTCAATCACCTGACAAAAAATGTAAAAAAACACACATTTTAGGAGTGTCAGTGTTTCTTTAAACACTGACATTTTGCAACAATTTTAATGCTGAAAAAGTTTCAATATTTCTATTGCTTATCTAGGCAGATGTGACAAAACAACGCGTCCCCTTTCCCCGAAAAAATTCTATTTCGCTGTGTAAACGAAAAGAAAACTAAAAACGAAAACAAGGCTGTGTTACATAATATCCGAAGTAGGAAGGAAGTTTTCTCTTTTCTTGTACTTCGGGTCAACTTACTGTGGCAATGCAGCCAAGACTACAGAGCCGAAGCACGCCGTTTCTCTGCGAAGCTGAATTTGATTCAACCAATATAATTTGCAGGCTCTAACTTAACCAATTAACAATATTTTCTTTTGCTTCGATTTTACAATGTTACTATATATTCGTCAGGATACGCCGAACTTACAGCGTTTATTTTTTAGCCCTTTCGTATTTTCTTGATTTAAGTTCGCAGCAGGTTTTCAAGTTCCCTGCAAATCAAACCTGGTGTCCTTCTCCTGTTCGTCGTCGGTATCGCGTATCGTCGATGCCTTTCGTGAGCTCGTCTCATTATTTGCCCCGTAGAAGTTTCGCGAAGTTTGGCAACCAAACCTTATCAAAACAAACCAAGCAAGTGGTATGCAACATGTACGCACAAGTGAGGCAAAGGGAACCGGAACTCTCCCTTGTTTCAGTGTACCTTTTGGTTAGTAAACTTCCGGTAAGCAGCTTGAATGGAATTCGGTACTCTTGGAATATTCAGTGACTCTAGTTCTGACAATGCTGCTATATTCCGTTTACCCTTAAGCAGAGACCGCAGCCAAAGCTACAAGCGCCAGCTAGCCCGCGCTCCTGGCCTTGAGACATGCATCTATAACGCCATAAAGGACGCTTCAAAACAGCGACCACGAGCTCTTGTGCATGTGCCATTGGTTACAGTCTCAGCTTAATGGACCTTTTCCACATACCGACGGCACCAGGCGGTTGCTGCACGAACTAAAAATCGAGGAAGTGACCTACCTGTGCTACCAATCGATAATGGGAGTTACGCTACCAGTTTCTTTGCGCTCTGAGCAGCGGCGCCTGCCCAATGCGACTTGAAAGAGGGGCATCCGTGGCGTCCACCCAAACGTCGTGTTTTCCTTTCCGTCGACGTTCTTTTTTTGTGTAATACAATTGTATATATGCTGCAGTTACGTGTACTAGCTGAAATGCAGCCTCCTTCCGATTTTCGTCGATTTTTCGTTCCGACTTCCGCCGCTTGGCATCGGGCACTTGCGCGTGCGCAGAACGCTTCTCGGAAAAGGTCCATTGGGTTTGGGTTTCTTGTAGCTACGCACCACAGATAAAGTGTAAGGTATAAAAGGTATTCACTGAACGCCATACTTGAGGGCGATATTTAGAGCGCATCCCTAAAACGAGCTCACATTGATAGGATGCTAAGACCGGCAATCTTGATGGTGCGGAATGCACGTTGCAGAGGAACTGTGGAAGCTTGCCGACAGCACGCGCTCAGCAGTCGCACACACAACCATGGCCGCCAGTGAATACTCACTATACTTCATTTCTGCTTAAGTTTAGACTAGAGTGTACTAGAAAGTACGCGTGGGGCGAGCTACAGGCTTCGCTCGTGCTTTCAGTTGCACCTCAAAGTGTGGAAAGCGATCAGGTGGAACCAAGCCACTTCGATTGCAGCGCCACCTTCGCTGCGATCGAGCAACGACACAGGCCAAGGTCATATTGTATTTTTTATGATTTTGACGTTAGAGGTAACGTCAAAGCACCACCACGACGTGACGACGACGCCACGACGTCATCGTCGTATACGACGTTACGCGACGCTGTCGTAAGGCCGTTGTGACATCGCGTTGCGTCGAGGACGACGCCCTTTCCCAACATCAATTCGCTGTTATAACACGGTCGTGACGTCACGTTGAGGAAGACGCCGTTAAACGACATCAAGTCGTCGTGGTGACGCCGTCGCGACATCGCGTCGCATTGAGGACGACGCCGTTACGCGACATCAAGTCGCCGTTGTAACGTGGTCATGACGTCGCGCGCCGCGTAGAGGACGACGTGGACGTGGTCGTCGATGCCGACGTTGACGTCGACGCCCCACGCAACGTCACACATCGCTATGACGTCATGTTAACGTTGTCCTGACGTCATCGTTAACGTCAACGTCACAACGGCGTCACAACGAAGCCTTGACGGCGTGTAATGTCGTCGCCTTCGCCAGCACCAGCGTCGACGCGCAGTCACGACAAAGTCTTGACGTCGTGTAACGTCGTTTACGATGACGTTGACGTCGACGTCGTGAAGTCGTCGGGACGTGTTCGTGACGTCGAGTTGCTTCATGTCGACAACGACGTCGACGAACTGACACCAAGCGTCCTTATGACGTCGCATTGACAAGGACGCCGTCATCTTGACGTCCCGTGTCGTTGTCTTTGTCGTCATCAACGTCAACGTCGACATCGTCGTCGTTGTCAAATTCAATGCAATATGACGTCAGAACGCAGTCTTTGTCTTGATGTCGTGTAACGCATGTTGTCAACGTCGATGACGACATTGACGTCAAGGCGTCGTCCTGATGTCGCATATGGCGTTGTGACGACAAGTCAGGTCGCGGTGACCTTCCGTACGTGACGCCTGGCGTCTAGGTTGTATAAAAAATGTAGTCCGGCGTTCTATTCTTTCTATGACCTTGACCAGTTTACCGGTGGAGCTCGGCGTTGGAACGAAACGCGTTTTTCACAAAATACGGCTAATGTAAACCATTTCGCTCGTAGCGTCCTCTCGGGCGCTACGAGCGAACTGGCTTGGATTAGCTGTATTGCGGAGGTGCACCTCCACATGCGGAGATGCAGAAATAGCACTCCGGTGGCCCCACTCGTCCTTTCTAGTACACTCTAGTCCAAACGCAGCAGTTGCTATAAGCGCGAGCTCAGGACTTTCAGCGTCCCTGCCAAGTGCGAGAGCAAGTGCAGTGCGAGCACTGTTTATGGCCACATGCTCGCGCTTGTAGCATCGGCTCTGTCTTGACTTAAGCTGAAAGTAAGTATAAGAAACCATGGCAACCTGTATTTGTTGTTGTTGTTTTCTTGTTTTTTTTTTTTTTGTTTTGTTTTTTGCAGCTCATGCTTTACATTGTTCAAGACCTGCTCAGGGATTATCCCGGACTAAGTGGGACCATGGTGGCTTCAGTGTTCAGTAGCTCACTCAGGTAAATATGAAGAGTTACAAGTTGTTCAATATTGAATAGGATATACCGTAGTGTACGACCTTTTATTTCTTGACACCGCATCGTTGAAACAGGTGGGCGTTTCCAACCCTGCTCTTCATGACATGGGATTAGCCTATTTTATGAAGCCTGCTGGTTGTTTCTTCACGGGTACCCACTTATAATCGTTCTGAATTCCCAAGAATTGAAAATTAAAAGGCAGCTGTTTATGCCAGGCAGAATATAATGCTAGTAATAACTTAAACCTACATCAGCAAATTCGGCATTCCAAATTATGAAAATGTCAATGTATGTTTGTACTCTAGTTATAATATTTAAAGTCGTATTACAAATAAAAACATAAAACTCTCGTAGAGTTTTCTTCGGAAATATGTCAACTAAGGCATTCTTAAACCGTCAAATACGAAATCTACTCAAATACCTAAGACTACTTCTCGTTTACAAACCTAGTTTCAATATTTTGAACATTTTAAGGCAGGTTAAACGCCAACAGTACAATTGTAAGGTTAAGTTAGGTTAAGTTAGGTTAGGTTAAATTAGCTCCCCGCCCCCCCCCCCCCCCCCCCCCCCCACCACTTTCGGTTGTGAACTAGACGGCGGGTTTCGCTGTATTCGCAAAGTCGAATGTACACGCTACCTTTTGGAAATGGCCACTTCCACTGCCAGATGTAGTTCACTCTTATGATAAAAGAATAACGAGTAAACAAATTGGGAAATACACGAGGACCGGAAGTGTGCCGTGGTCACCCAGTAGATGGCGCCACTAAGTTTGTTTCCCATCAAAAACAGGGCGAAGAGGTCGCGTGACGTCCACTTTCCCCGCTAAATTTAGTGGGGAACCTGAATTGGTATATCGGTCACGTGACCTAAGGTCACGTGACCTTGATTTTCTCAGCTGGAATCGTACCTAAACTTGGAAATCAGTCAGAGTTGTTCCCATATCTAAATCTGGTAACAAACAGGGCCTTATCACTTACAGACTAATTTTATTAACTTCTTCTCTAGTAAGCTCCTCGAGCATGTAGTCTACAGTCATATTTCTGAATACCTCGAAAACAACTCAAACATCTTCCCTCAGCAGCACGTTTTTTGTGCTGTCGTAGCCATTTTTCAACTACCACTCAACTCCGGTGTTTTACTCGTGATATTGCTTCGTCTTTTAATAAAAGAGCAGGTTGATGCGATATTCATAGACGATTCGAAGGCATTCAATAAATGTTTGCATTCCAAACAACATTTTAAGTTTAAAGTTAAACTTAAGGATCCCGTTTTACTTGACTGGATCACTGATTATTTCAAAAGCAGGTCACAGTTTGTTTCGCTTGGTAATGGTGTTTCTTCAAAAGAACAGAAGTCAGTTCAGGTGCACCGCAAAGATCGGTGTTAGGGCCCCTTTTATTTCTTCCGTATAATAATTCTATTGTAGAAAACATGCTGGTTATAATTCGTCTCTATGCTGATGACTACGCCCTGTATAATGATATTACTTCAGTTAATAATGAATTGTTACTAGATCATTCCTTCGCGCGCTTCTTTCATTGGAGTAAATAATGGCAAATGGAAATCAACATTGAAAATACTATGCCCATGAAGTTTATAAATAAGAAATCGCCCTTGGTTTTTAGCCACGGCATTGACGCGATAATCGTATGGGAGTTTCATGAGTTCAAATATTTGGGCGTTATTTTTTTCATCTAACCTTAAATGGGACAGGCAGGTTGACTTTATTTGCTCTCGCGTCCTCAGGATATTAGGACATGTTAAACGTGCGCTGAAATGTTCTTCAAAAGTGGCGCTTTTGAAACCCTTGTTAGGCGAATTTTTGGAAGATGGTTCTCTAGTTCGTGACGCCTATCCAAAAAACGATATTAATCTTGTCGACTCTGTTCAGGCCAAGACGGTCAGTTTTATTTCCAATGGATATGATCGACACTTTTCATCATCATCTATGCAAACATTACAGCGAGTCTCAGTTTTTTAGGCGAAATGTCGAGCGGTTGAAAATGACACAGAACTATTAATGAAGATAGTGGCATTGAGTGCATGAAATACATTCCTTTTTCAAACATCACGCACACTAGACGATTCCATCCTTTAAATATTTTACGTTTTCACTATTATATTTTTTTGTTTTAAAAAGTCCTTCCTTCTGTGTACGGTTGAGTTATGGAACGGTAATAATGGACCAACGCGTATGCTTCATTACGACGACATAGTTTTAGAAATTGTGAAACTTCATCTTGCTTAATATGTGACTGGCGAATCATTATTTTGTATATGTTCTTGGTTATTGTTAGCACTACTCATCTGTTTTTCACCTGTGTATTCCACTCCTGCAATGCCCTTAATTGATGTTGCAGTATGTTCAGATTAATATGTTAATTTGACGATGAAAATTATGTCGCGTGACTTACACACCAATCCAAAGCCCCCCCCCCCCCCCCCCCAAATATAGCGGGGAAATGAATATCACGGGACCGTCACGGTGACCTATATCCCAATTCAGATTCTTCCACCATTGTTTTTAAAGTAACGGTTAGATATTGGGGGGGGGGGGGGGGGTGTAGTGAACATATGCTGCCGAGTGTTTTTTTTTTTTTTTGTGAACTTTTCTTTAAGGCTCGCCCGCTTTTTGGGTTTCAGCACGCTGTCATCGGGTTACAATGCCCTGGCGGCAGTTACGTGGAAAGACTTTATTGAACCTCGAGTCAAGTTTTCTGAAAGGAAGGCCGTTCTCGTCACGAAGGGCATTGGTAAGTCTATCTTTATTATAAATCTTGAAAGCGGCGGAACAATGACCCCAGTGAGAGCGGTTCACTAAACAGTCCCAAGGTGTCACCACCGGTACATGTCCGGTGCAAGACCTCGTGCATTTCCTCTACTCGGTTGTTGCTACATTTAACTTTTTTCTTTTTTTTTTTTTTTCATTTAAATTTCCGAAAAAACGAGTCTCCGAGTTTTAAGCAAAGTTTGGCGAAAAACGCTGGTTTCGGAGCAAAAAAATGCTTGGTGTGGTCCACTGATTTCTATGACAATTGCTGGAATGCGCTTCCCCGCACCGCAATAGCGGACACCGAACTATGGTTATGGTGCCTAGAGAGAGTGGTGTGCCGAGGAGCGGCCGAGGCGCGACACCGATTTGGGAGACAGCGGGTAGATGGCGCTCACCTGTTGCGAGCGTGGTTTCTCGCCGCTTCGCAGCTTCAGTTCGGGCGTTCAGGTGAGTTTCCGCGAACCATAGGTTGTGATCATCGAAACCATGAAATATGTGAGCTAAATGCCAAGTCGGCGTTTCAACACGAAAGGATGCAGGACGAGAAGCAATTTTCGATGTGCCCGCGTGCTCAGCGGAACGTTGCGATCCGTGAAACACGACCTCTTTTTCTCACTTAGGGGCATTTGCGCTTACGCTTTTGAAGACATCCCACGAAACTACAGCCTTGTAGGACGAGTCGGAAGTATGGACTACAACTTGTGATATTACCTGTGATAACCAAAGAGTATTACAGGATAGACACTCCCATCGAAAATACGTAAAAGGCTTGCATAGAAGACAAGCATGCTTTGCAAATTCTTCCGTGGGTGTCTCTTTCGTGTTCAAATCACACAGATATTGTAAAAGTAACAAATATTTAGGAAATGAACAGTTTCAGAAGTGAACGGCACAAGCGTAATATTCAAAGACACGAAATTCGGCGATCTTGTCTGAACCGCACGCACATATCTGTGCAAGTAGTTATTTTAAATATACATGAATACACATTTGAGGGGTAGAGAGAGTAAAAATATTTATTTACATACGCCTAGTCCGGCGCTCCAACGTTTGGGGATCAAGTGCTGCGTCACTTCCAATCTCGGATGTCAGGCCTCTGAAAATGATAAAGCTGGATTACTCACGCATGAAAGAAACTTGGTATGCAGTGTACTTTGTTCAATGTCCCAACTTTGATGCCACATGGCAAATTGTTTTCAATTTCCTCTGCGTACTAGGCAGGGAATAGCTAGAGCAATTTGCCTTGCTTTGCAAAATTCTGCTTTCTTTGCTTTTGCTCCCGGAGAATATTCTGTTCCTTCACATATAAATGAACTCTGGTCATCAAATAGAACTTAACGACTACTGCGGTAAGCTCATTTTTGTGGCTCTTGGCAACCCACTGTTGAAGTCTTCCCTTGCACACATGCCATGAGATCGAGGACGCTGTCAGCATCCTCAGAGTCAGAGTCAGAAAGGCTCTCTTGCTGAAGCAACTTGTAAAAATGCCTTCTAGCTGGCTAATGAGCCCGAAAAGCGCATTTGTCACATAAACAAGCCAGCCCCCCCACCCCTCCCCTGTTGAACTGTTTTGTAAAGGCAGCTGGGTGCATTGTTTGCACTGGTGTTCCATGTCGTATGCACAGTGCCGTGCAATCAGTAAAGTGTTGCGTCTTGACGCATTTTCTCGCCGCATAGCCTGAAATATAGAAGATAAGCCTTGAGTCACTCCTTTTTTTAAAGCTTGACACATGATCCCGAGAAGTCAGGGCCTTTTCTGCATCTCCGAATCTGCCCTGGTCGAAGAGTTCGAAGTGTCGATGAGTTCGAAGAGTTCGAGGTCGAAGTGTACCGTTGTCACAGACTCTTGTGAGCCCTCTTCTGCATCTCCGTGACTACCTTTTGTTGAACTCATCTAAATCGACTCGTGCACTTGCCACAGAGTCTTTTGAGCCCAACATGGCGTTAAGGAAGCCTTTAGAGGTGGTTCCACCCGCTGGTGACCGCACAATGTTATAAAAACTCACGCAGTTCACCACAGTCAGGAATTCTGATGGGGTTGGGTAGTCGTTCGCTCCACAGGACTGCCTAATAATTCCAAAGAGTCGTTCAATACAATCCTGGTATAATCGAGTAGTCATTAAACACTTGTAACCAAGGCCAGTCACGTACTCCAGCAGGCTTTTGGTACTTTACAATGTGACCCTTAGGCCCTCTGCGGTGCCCTTGCTAAGGAACCCACCATCCGTTGCTGCCACTTCCCAGTCGTTCATTTACATAAGAAATCTGGCGATGACCTCTGCATGGCAAGATTCAGGTCTGCAGCAAAAAGGATAGTATGGTCAGTCATATTTTGACAAGTCCCTTAATGAGTTAGTTTTTATTTTCACACAACGAAGGAGTCGGGGGCGAGTGTTCTATGGTTCTCAGCACCCATTATTCAGTGCTGCACTCAGATCTGATAACTTTCCTGTCATCTTTTTAAGACCAGTAAACGAAAATGATTCTGCTAATTTTCAGAAGCCAAGAAAAGTTTCCCAAGAATCATACAGCAAATTAAATTTCTTGCAAAGCTCTCATGCATACGCTTTGATAGTTGTCATGTGTGCATGATGCTCTCAATGCCCCTGCTTCATTCCAGTCGGCAAGGAAACGAGACGTATCATTAAATGATTTAGTTGAATGTCTCACAAATACTAATTACAAATTGTTACTTGCCTCACAGCATCAAGCCTGTATCGAGACGTCATCGCTTTGATCAGAGAGGAAATCAACTGCACGATCTGTACAGTCGCCTCGCAGTCTCCGTAGACCTCCTTTAGGTGTTCTCCGTAAAGCAGTATACCTCGCAAGATCTCGTCACTGAACAGCTGGAATGCGAGGTTCACTCACATTTTTTTCGAATGCATTCGGAAATAAGTGAGAGCGGGAAAGCCGAGGCCTTGCCTTCAGAGTCAGGGGCGCGGAGTCACACTTCCATACTTCGATGATATGGTTCCTTGCAACCTTAAAGTAAAAGAAGGACATATTGTGTATTGCGATGCAAGCCAAGTCACTCAGCAACTGCTATTTAAGATTGGCGCTCGAGAATAGTGACCCTGCCATCTGGAGTTTGTAATCCGGTTTTCAGAAAGCCATTCTGTAAGCACTTAATAAGGTGCAGAAAACCAGATACGAAATGAAAATGCCACTTCGAATCCATGGGGTACTCTGTTTTGCAAGTTATCCTGCCTGCCTTTGCCTATAAGAAAAATGCAAAATAACAAATATATTAGTGCCCAAATGAGAAAAAAAAATGTATTAGTGCTTAAATCATTTTAAATATTTTAATGTATGTTAACACAATGTACCTTAATTCCGAAACGCTTCCACATGCTCCGGTTCCACGACGCCCCATCACAGCAGATGCAGTCGATCCTGGGGCCTGCCTGTTCACCAAGGATTACTGCATCAACAATGATCTTGGACAGGATATCACTTTTCACATTTCCATTTGCTGCGAAGACACCTGCATAGAAATGTCCTGAATCAACACTACGCTCACAAATGAAATTCTAGAAACATTTGTGGAGGTCAACTTGTGTAACAACTTCTGACTATCTATATTAGTTGAGCCACCACGCACATATTTCCTCATTTGTACTTACCGAGCATTTGGGTTCACTTTCCACGGAATTGTTGGAACAGCAGCACCATGCCATGGTCTGCTGAAACTCCTTCTTGGTCGTGAGTTATGTAGGGCCCTAGATTCACGAATTTTTCTGCATGTCCAGAAGGTTGGAGCAAGTTATTCTCAGAAAGTTTAATTTCGTTCAACACTAAACCATTATGGAGCTCCAGTTCCGTCATGTTTGCCGTCTTCTCCTTCAGAGAAACAAATGTTGTGGGGTTGAACCCAAATCCAGTCTTGTAGTGCTTAATGTACTTGCGGAGCGTGATGAGTCCAGGGAGTGCTAAAATTTTGTCTTCCCGAGGTTGTCTGTAGAAGCGAGGGCTCTTCAACCTGGGAGAATAAAAAAGCAGTTATAAACTATAGTATCTTGCCAAAAAGAGCTGATTCTGACTAAACTGTTACCTCATAAGAATGCATTCCAGAAGCCACTCCTGTTCATAAAGCATTCCCTTTGGAGATTTTCTTTTCGCTGCCTGGAAGCAAGGGCGAACGTTGAGTTGTTGCTTTGGTGGAAGGCTCTTGATCTGAAAGTGACAGTAAGAATCGTTCTGAAAACAGCTGGAAGGCTTTCTATAACCTGCCATGAGGGGATAAGGAAACGGCAGGACAAGAATCGTGTTTTTTTTTGTCAGTCTTTTACTATATTACACTCGTCACATGCAGCTCTTAGCAGTTCGGGTTCCAGAACTGCTAAGAGCTGCAGTTGGGGTTCCAGAACTCTTGAAAAACATGGGTTTTTGAAGAGTTCTGGAAGTGTGAAATAGGGAGGTGTAGATATAAGAAGCACATTATATCTCCATATGCTCTGATCAATTACCTTCTCTTCCAAAACGCCGCTTCCAATCTCCGCTGTCCTCTGTTGGAGCTGCCGCACATTTTCCGTGAGCTGAATCAGTTTCCTTTTGCCCCGCTTCAGCTGTTTTCTCTGGTTTCTCAGGTTTAACAAACTCGTTGTTTGGCCATATTTTTTTTTTGCACCGTCGTGTGAAGAGCAACTTCCTCAGGTACTCACACCTTAAGCAGGATGTGCCTAAAATTGTGAAATTTGATTACATAAACATAGGAAAGGCAATACATACGTATAAAACAACAGCTGCCAGAGCCACAATACAAATTGAAAGTCTCCGATCATGCTGGGCAGCTAGCGCTCCTCGTACAATGTACAACTGTACAGCGTGTTTCACGAAAGGTGGACAAATTCAATATTGCGAAAACTACACATCGCACAAAAAAAAAAAGGTTGTGTTGGTGTGGTCCTAGGCCAGGGGCCTATTTAAGAATGTTATTAAAGTTTGCGATAATTAAGTTGTTAATATTCTTGCGCAATT